AGAATCTTCATTTCTAACCAGTTCCCAGTCGGCACGGCTGCTACTGGAGCCACCCTCTGAGACCCGCTTCCTTACTGGAAGCATTTATTTGTCGATATGAAGTCCAGCTCAGGCAGTGATCTTCCACTGGGGTGATTTTGCCCACCAGAGGACAAAATCTGCAGACATTTTTGGTTGCCCTAACTGGGATGGTGGGCACCTGTTGGGGAAAAAGCCAGCGATGCTGCTCAACATCCTGCAATGCTTGAGACAGTCCCCCCTCCCCAAGAATTATTTGACCCAGAATATCAACCGTGCCAAGGCTGAGAAACTCTCAACTGCCAAGGAATGCATAAATAAATCAGAAGACTATTATCAGAAGGAATAAATATTATGCAGCCACTAGGAAGAATGCTCCTGAGACCTTTTTAAAACTTGAGCAACTGTTTATGATATGTGAGGGGAAAGATAAAAGGAGTACATTTAACATATCAGTGGTTTTGTTCATTTTCTTCATACCGACTGCTTCCTAAAATTTTCTTGTTTATGTGTTTACTTATATGTCATGTCTCCATTTACTAGGACGTAAGCTCCTGGTGCACTTTAGGAGAGTGTTAACTAGTTGGGATACATGACTGGAGAAACCTGATGTCATGTAAGTTAAATCAGTGGTGTACTGGTAGGTTGTTAGCAACAGACTCTCTGGGGGCACCTGGGTGGCTCAGTCGGTTAAGCATCTGCCTTCAGCGCGGGTCATGATCTTGGGGTCCTGGGATCGAGCCCCGCATCGGGCTCCCTGCTCAGCGGAGAGTCTGCTTCTCCCTCTCCCTTGGTGCTCTCTGTCAGATAAATAAAATCTTAAAAAAAAAAAAACAACCGACTCCCTGAAACCGAAAATCTCTCATTTGTAGCATTTCTATGGCATAAATGTGCCCACCGTGGCTGATTTCAAACTACTTCATGATGTCAGCAGAGGAGTTCGATAGATGGACACAACTGGCTTGCTAAGCTCGCAGGAGCCAGCTCCAGCACACCACTGGAAATAATTACATTAATATCAAAGACTGAAAGGAAAAATGCCAAAAGGTTAATGATAGTGCACTGGGATCATGCATATATTAGAAACCAAGAAGCTCCAGCTTGCTAGGAAATGAATTTGAGGGCATGGCTCCTGGGCTAGGGTTATGTCCTCCAAGGAGGAATAGAACAACCTAGCCATTAATATGACTCCGCTCCCAATTTCTGGTCTCAACCCAAATTCTAAATTTGTGATTCAGAGAATCAGTTGACATGATCTTATGGGAGTTCGGGGTGGGGGGGTGATGCATATAAACATTCCGGGCATAGGGGGGCCCACGAGGTGCAGGTGAAATTTGGGTGAAGTAGAAAAGCATGCGGGCCCAGAGACTCTTCTATGGACTGGCTGGTCAGGGAGGGCTGCTCAGAGAAAGTGACATGTGAACTGAGATCTGAATGACAAGAACGTGCCCGACAGAGACTGGGACTGTATTGTGAGAAGAGCCAGCAAGTGCCTTCCTGCTCAAGACGCACTCGGTGCCCCAGGAGCACCAGCATCATTGGGAGCTTGTTAGAAATGCACCCACTCAGGGCCCAACCCAGCCGCACAGAACCAGACTTGGGCATTTGAACGAGATCGCCCGGGGATTTGCGTGAGGATTGCAGAGCTGTGGATTGAATTCGAGAGCCTGCATTACTGTTTCAGGATGCTGGCTGTGGCCAGCCACTGGGACTCCATCGCCTAGACATCTTGCCCCAGTGAGAAACTGGTTTTCTCATGACACCAGTCTTGGCAGATGGACCTGAGCCTTTGTTTTTGTCTTCAGAGCTGTGCCATTTTAAAACAGATTTTAGGAAAATCAAGGAATCACTTAGCAGGGGCACCTGGGTGGCTCAGTCGGTTAAGCATCTGCCTTCGGCTCAGGTCATGATCCCAGGGTCCTGGGATCGAGCCCGCATCAGGCTCCTGCTCAGCGGGGAGCCTGCTTCTTCCTTTCCCTCTGCCCGCCACTCTGCTTACTTGTACTCTCTATCTCTCTGTCAAATAAATAAATAAAATCTTAAAAAAAAAAAAAAATCATTTAGCAGGCAGAAACAGGAGGCCTGAGAAAGAGTCTATCGTGAGGCTCCTTTCGTGGTGACATCACCGCCGTGCTGGAGCGTGCCTCCAGCCCCAGCCCTGAGCACCACCTGCAAAGCTGTGGCAAGCTGGGAAGGCCATGGGCAGTCTTTCTGAAAATGCATTAACTGTCTATGATTCACCCTTCAGCTCGCAGTCAGAAGGAGAGATCATTTTTTTTTTTTTAAGATTTTATTTATTCATTCGACAGAGAGACACAGAGAGAGAGAGGGAACACAAGCGGGGAAGCGGGAGAGGGAGAAGCAGGCTTCCCGCCGAGCAGGGAGCCCGATGTGGGGCTTGATCCCAGGACCCTGGGATCATGACCCGAGCCGAAGGCAGACGCCCAACCAACTGAGCCACCCAGGCGCCCCAGGAGAGATCATTCTTAACCTGACTACTATTTTATAACTGGCAACAATTTGCAACTTCAGTTTCAGGCTGAGCACCAGCCTTGCAAGGAACACACTGTTGTAATGGGGAAACGTTTCATAAAAAGTGGGTAAGAGCAAAGAGAAAGCACAAACAGCAACCTCAAATCTCCCCAAACTACAGAATATTACCTTTATTTTAGCAGCACTGTGAAGATTACTATGAGTTTTACGTGCTATGAGTAATGAATTGCGTTTAGCTGTTGGTGCAGAGAGCTAACCACAGCTGCTTATATAAACTAAAGGGTTTTTCCTCCACTTACTTTAAAAAAAAATTTTTAGAGGTAGTCTAAGGATATCTACAAGTTCATCAGACTTCCTCCTTTCTGCTCCACTATTCTCTGCATATGGCTTCCTTCCTTTTGGTTACCTCATGGTCAAAGATGGCTGCTGCAGCCCTGGCTATCTTATTTGAGTTCCAGGCTCCAGGAAGGAGGAAGTAGCAAGAGCAAGAGACCACGCTAAGTCACGTCCTTTTAAATAGCTTTCCTGGAAGCCCCACCCAATGACTTCCTCTTATTATTTCATCATCCTCCCTTCGTTGCAAAGGAGGCTGGGAAATGTAGTCCTTGAGCTGGGCACACTGCCCACTTGAATACAATTTAGGCTCTGTTAGTAAAAAGTAACTGTGGAATGTATATTGGAAAGGGAGCTAGCCGGCTATGTTATGTTTATATTATCCCATTTTTTTTTTTTAAGATTTTATTTATTTATTTGAGAGAGAGAGTAAGAGAGGGAGAGAGCACAAGAGGGAGGAGCAGGAGAGGGAGAAGCAGACTCCCTGGCGAGCAGGGAGCCCGATGCGGGACTCGATCCCGGGACTCCAGGATCATGACCTGAGCCGAAGGCAGTCGCTTAACCAACTGAGCCACCCAGGCGCCCTATATTATCCCATTTTATGCTCAGTTTGGAGACACCCTTTGGGGAATCCACCATTTCCTGCACGAGGCCTTAGATTCTTGGACACTTTTTCTGGGTCACGACAACAGACTAGCAGTATTTTGTATTGCTTTTTTAAGACGCATAGAATTTGCTTGCCCAAGGTAAGCTGTGTTTTATCCCAAGGTGGGGAGAACATACAAAGCTTCCAATGTTTGTTAAAAATCTCTTTCTTCAGGGGGCTCCTGGGTGGCTCAGTGATTAAGCGCCTGCCTTTGGCTCAGGTACTGATCCTGGAGTCCCGGGATCGAGCCCCGCATCAGGCTCCCTGCTTCACGGGAAGGCTGCTTCTTCCTCTCCCAGTCCGCCTGCTTGTGTTCTCTCTCTCACTGTGTCTCTCTCTGTCAAATAAATAAAATATTAAAAATAAAAATCTTTCTTCAAAACTTAATTTTGTTTCCTGTGTTTCTATTGAAAACAAGTTTAGGGAGAAACACGTCCCTTCAATTTACCGAGTGAGGTGAGCTGTGAGCAGATTTGATCATGAGCTTGCCTTCTGTGCCCCAGGAAAGGTATGAAAAAGGATCAGAACACATCTGTCCCACTCTCCTTCCCACACCTCACAGAAGAGCAAATGGTTGTTTTCTGTGCATACAGACTATGAGATGGCATGGTGGGTCCACCCTCAACTCCCAGCAAGTCACTCCACCTCTGGAGTCTAGGACTACAGGGACAGTAGAATCTCACCCTCAGTAGGGAGCTGAATGCAGCACGGGGGTGTATTTAGTATGTCAACATTGGTCCCAAACTTGAACAGGGCATATATTAAAACACACAAAAACACTGCTCTTGTATAAACGTATATGCTGTTAAGTGTTAATTAAAGATGTTTGATTTTATCCTGTTATTTTGATTGGCCTTTTGTGCTCACAATGTTATTTGACTTTTCTCATATCTTTTGACTCATGCCCTTGAGTTTAACTTTGGCCTTTTCTGGCAGCAGTTAATCTGTGAGGCCACTTATACTGCTTACTGTGATGAATGCATGCATTATATATCATGAGAAGCTGTTGGTATCATGCATTCTCTTGACATTTCTGTGCACTAGGGGAGGAAAAAGATGGGCTGCCATTTCAGTTTTAATTCAGTTGTGTTAACAAATAATCTTGTAGTGTGGAAAGCCTTCCTAAGCCTGATGCAAAACTCAGAAGCTATAACCCTGTGTGTTGTGGAAATAGAAAAGATGTCCAAGATCTATTATAAAATGGAAAATAAAAGCTCAGTTTCCTAACACGCTGTGTAATACATCTTTTATGGTTAACAGTGTTTCCGTGGGGTGTCTGGGTGCCTCAGTTGGTTGGGCATTCAACTGTTGATTTCAGCTGGGGTCATGATCTCGGGGTCCTGGGACTGGCCTGCATTGGGCTCTGCACTCAGTGGGGAGTCTGCTTGAGGATTCTCTCTCCCTCTCCCTCTGCTCCTCCCTGTGCTGGCGTACACTGTTTCTCTCTCTCTCAAATAAATAAGTCTTTAACAACCACCACAACAAAATAAAAGTATTTACATATACATACTTAGAAGTCTGGAAGGATGTTAAAAATGAAAGTACAGGGGCACCTGGCTGGCTCAGTTCGTGGAACATGTGACTCTTGATTGGAGTCGTGAGTTCCAGACCCACATTGGGTGTGGAGCCTATTTAAAAAAAAGAAAAAAGAAAGTATACATTAACTCACATTTTCTTGAGTCATCAAATGCTAATTACTTCAAATGGATGTGAAGTTTCCAGAGCTTAGCTGAGAGATGTCATACGCACTGTTGCTTGTCCAGACCTACCAATTCCAAGGTTGGAGGCTAATGTAGCACTTTCTCAGGCCCCTAGAGTGCTAGTCTTTACTGAATAATTTTGTGGACTGGTATGGCACTCAGTCTTTTTCTCATTTATTCTCATTTAATCCTGAAAGCAAACCCGAGGAGTTTCTATTACCAACTCCATTTATGATGCTCAAAGAGTCATAGTAATTTGCCCAAGGTCACTCAGATAGGAAGTGCTTATAAAATTTAGAAAGCCAAACTAGATGGTACTATCTCATCAACAGAAAGAAAGAAAATGTGGTTTAAGTCAAATCAGATTATTCCTGTTTCTTTTTTTTGGGGTGCAAAAAGGGTGGTTTTATTATAGCATGGGGACGGGACCCATGCGCAGAAAGAGCTGCCTATTCCTGGTTCTTTTAGCCTTTTCCACCTCTGTGCCTTTGAATCCATGCGTCCCTCTGTTCTGAGGGGCCTCTTCCTTCCAGGAACCTTGTCTGTGCTTCATGGCCTAGCAAAAACGCTTCCTACCCCAGGAAGCCCTCTGTGATTCCCACCACTGGGAAGTAACCTTTTATACTCCTTACACATCTTACTTTCTGCCCTCAAGACATGTTGCTTTTCACAGTGGCCGCTGATAAGTACATCCCTCAGCTCTTGCAGGTTGACTATGAGCACCCACTATGAGCACCCACTAGGTATGGACGTGTAATAATGTCGCTTAGGTTTTATAAAGGGCAGTTTAGAATGAAACTAACCAGTAGCCTGGTGTGAGTCATCTTTGTGTGTGTGTGTGTGTGTGTTTCTTGGGGTAGGGAAGAGGGGGAGAGAGGGGGGGAGAACGAGAGAGACTCATTTAAGACCACGGCAGGTCTCAGAAAAATCTCTATGAAAATGCACTCAGATTAAAACTTTTTTTTTTTGCCATAAAAGTAACAGATTTTCAGATGTTTTTCTATTGTAATCATTATTGAAAAAAATTCTTTTAAAAATGATTTTTAAAATTTACCTGAGATTTTAAAGATTTATTTATTTGAGAGAGAAAGCACAAGCAGGGCAGAGGGACAGAGGGAGAGAGACAGGCTCCCCGCTGAGCAGGGAGCCCAATGCAGGGCTGATCCCAGGCCCTGGAGATCATGGCCTGAGCAACAGGCAAACACTTAAGGGACTGAGCCACCCAGGCGCCCCTGAAAAAAAAAAATTTCTTTTCATATTATAGAGTTAATAGACTATTTTTGTAGTCTTGTACAAAATAGGTAAACCCTAGGCTGTGTGCCTCTGATACTGGATGGACAAAGTACACCAGCCTGGTGCTCCCACTCTGGTTGCCTGAAGAACTGGAGGTTCCCCTATAACCCCTACTTTTGCCTGGCATGTCATTTCTACGGTGGCCTCTAACCCCCTTTCTTCCTACACCCTACTTACCAATCTTTTTAAGATTCAACCAGGAATAAGACTGCCAAGATTCTCCCCTCCGAAAAGTTATTTATTGGTGACAAGAGACCTGTAAGTAAACACATCAATAGTAGGATCATTTCAGGTAGTGAGGCAGGGTATGAAAAAATAAAACCAGGCAATAGGCGTGTGGAACCTCTACCTTAACAAGGCTGGTATGACAAGGGCTCTGTGCTTATAGGCCATTTGAGCAGAGCCTTGAGAATTGAGGAGGAGGAAGATTCCAGAGAGAGTACCGTGAGGGTAAAGGCCCTGAGGCAGAGAAGAGCTTGGTGTCCTGGGGAAACAGCAAGAAGGCCAGTGTGTGACTGGGCAGCACAAGCCAAGCAGAGGACGGCGTGAGATGAACACAGAGGACGCGGGCCCAGATCCTGCAGGGACCATAATGAGGGGGTCAGCTTTTAGTCCAGAAGTGCCGGCTGTAAAGCCACCTTGCTTTGCAGGAGCGCGCTGTGGCAGCTCCTGAGGGGTGGTGCCCTGGACGGCTTCTGCAGGCCCTGGTGGCTCCTGTCCTCGCCGCCAACACCTGGAGGGCCGGTTTTGCCTCTGTGCGGTCACCTCTCGTTTGCGTGGCCTCTTCCTCCGGGGGCTGGAGCCGCGGGGGTGACGGGGCCGCAACGCGGCGCAGGTTAACGGGAGGCCAGGCGGTCCACCCCGCGCAGCCACGCGGGTTCCGGCCGGAGGAGGTGGGGGCTGGCGCGTTACGCAGGCGGCCACACGTGGACCCGGAGTGTGCTCCCCGGGACAGGTGCGGGGCCGCCACCCTGGCCGGGGCGTCCCGTCCCGCGCTCCGGTTCGCTGGCGGCCTCTCGGGCGGGCTGGCGGCCGCGGCCGGCGCGTCACAGGACGCTGTCCCCGAAGGGCAGCGGGCCGCAGGAAGGGCCTGCTAGCCTCGCCACTTGCAAGTTTTTTTGGGGCTCGGAAGCCCAACTTGCCCATCCGAGAAATGGGACTCTGAAATAAACAGATGGGGGGGCGCGCTCTGCCAACTTGGACGTTTTATTCTTTCTCTACGTCCCTACCCACTTTGGAGCCCAAGGGGCTGGAGCAAGCGGACTGCCACCCCAGACACCCGGCGTCCCCGACGGGCGGTGGCTCGACTTAATTTTGCGTCCCCTGAGGCCGGGAAGCTCCTAAAAAACCCCCGCGGGGCGCGACCGCTGGGTCGGGTCACGTGACTCTCGCTCGACGCCCCGCCGGGGGGGGAAGCAAGCAAGTGCGCATGCGTACCTTCTATCTCCTCCCCCCCCGTTTGATTTGGATGCAACCACTGTCAGCTCCTCTCCCTCCTTTTCCTCCTCTTCCGTCCTTCCTGACACACGTTCCCTTCCCCCCGCCCATTGGTTACGTCCGGCAGACAGGACGGTGAGCCAATCACGGTGCTGTGTTCAGAGGCCGGCACGCGGAACCGGTCGGATCGGGCCAATGAGAGCTCTCGGAGCGGGCGCGCCCCAACCGAGCAGGGGAACAGAAGCCGAGTGGGCGGTGCTTCCCCAGTCAGCATGTGGGCGGGGGAGGGCGGGGACCAGCAGCCGCAGAGACGTCGACGGCGGCGGCGACGACGACGTTCCTCAGTCTTCTGGGTGGGCTCGGCGGTGCAGGCCGTGTTGCGCGGAGGGTTCGGCGGTCAGCGGCGGCGGCCCTAGGGGGGCCGCGGCGCCATGGGCAGGCGATAGACGGGCTCGGGCCGGCGAGGCGAGGGGCGGCGGCGGTCGTCCAAGCCGCGGCGACCTTCGGCGGGGCCCGGGGGTGGGGAGGCCCGGGGCGGGGGTCGTCCCAGACAGCGCGGGGCCGCGGGGCGGGTCTCGCAGGCCGTCGGGGTGCAGGAGGCCTGGGCCGCCGCGAGGAGCTGCCGCCGGCCGCTGGGCCCCGCCGCCGGGCCGCTCGACGACGACGCTCCCGCGGGGGCCCCGCCTGAGGAGGACGCGGCGGCGGCGGCGGCGAGGCCGCGGGAGGCCGCGGAGGATGGAGGAGCGGAAGGAGGAGGGCGAGGCTGAGATCCAGGAGCACGGGCCGGAGCACTGGTTCTCCAAGTGGGAGCGGCAGTGCCTGGCTGAGGCCGAGCAGGACGAGCAGCTGCCCCCCGAGCTGCAGGAGGAAGCGGCGGCCGCCGCGCAGCCCGAGCACAAGCAGCAGAAGCTGTGGCATCTCTTCCAGAACTCGGCCACCGCCGTGGCCCAGCTCTACAAAGGTGAGGCCCGCCGCCGCCATCTTGCCACTGCCGCCGCCCCGCCGCCCCGCCGCCGCCGCCGCCGCCTCGGGGTCTGCGGGTCGGCGGGGAGCCCCGAGGGTGGCCGTCCGCCCACCCGCCCGCCGGGCCGGGTCGGGCCAGGCCGCGGCGCCACCGCCGCCCCCTCCCCACAAGATGGCGGCGCGGGGGGCGGGCCCGGCGGGTGGCCGCGGCCGAGCGGGGGGCCGGCGCTGGGGGCGCCCCCGTTTGGGGCCGCTCTCGGGGGCCCGCCCGCTGCTGGGGCCCGGCTGCCGGCGCCCCCGGGCCGGGAGGACAGGGGAGGGGCCCCCGGTCACAAAATGGCGAAGGGAGGCGGCGAGGCCGGCCCATTGTGCCGGAGCGGGCCTCGGGGCGGAGACTGGGAGGGGGCGCCTCCATCGGCCGCGGTCGGTCCTGGGGCTGCGCCTCTGGGCCCCGCGGCTCGCCCTGGCCCCCGTCGCGACCCCCTTCCTGCAGGCCTCACAATTGAGTGTGGGATCCTGAAGCCCTGGAACAAAATGGCGAAACCTAATATGGCCGTTCCGGAGTGATTGACGCCCAAATAACATCTCTCTCTCTCTCTGTCTCTCTTTCTGTTGTCTTTTGTGTTTTTTTTTTTCCTCCTCCCTCCCCGCTTTTTCAGACCGAGTGTGTCAGCAGCCAGGACTTTCTCTCTGGGTCCCCTTCCAAAACGCAGCCACCGCCGTCACCAATCTCTACAAAGGTAAAGATAACCTTGCTGCATTGCCGGCTAAGAGGAAGGGCAGCCTGCGTCAGGGTTTGAGTCTTGCGCCGCGAGGGCAGTAGACACCCTTTCCCGGATTCAGACTGCCAGAGTCTTTGCTGCTGAGTCCAGCCACCAAGTGTCCCGGGTACTTTGTTGGTTGAGAACTCCCGGGGTGGTCTAGCTAGATCCTGCATCTCGGTCGGGGCGTTTGACCCCTCCCACCCCCCGACCTCCCCCCAGGCACGTTTGACACTGGGGGCAGTTTTGAATGTCATCCCTAAGAGGGGGCTGCTGAATATTCTACCTTGCACAAGACAGGCTTCTCCGCCCCAAATGCCAGTAGTGCGGAGGTTGAGAAGCCCTGAGCTGGGAGACGAGTGAGGCGTGTTTCTTCTCACTGGAGAGGGCATCCAGGGAAGAAGGGAGTTTATGGTGCCACAGACAGAGGTGGACACCTCCCGGAAGAGTCTTGAGTTAGGCAGTTTAGACCAAGGTATTTTCGTAGCATTTCAGTGCGTTGAAAACTAGCTGATTGGAATAAACTGTGCACATTAACATACTGCTCTTCTCTAGCAACTTCAAATATTTGCCTTCAAAACTACGGCATATCTGATTGTATAGTGTTGGCAGGAAATGTGTAATCAGAGGTTGCGTTGGTAGATTTTGTGTTTTATGGTAGTGTCTTCCTGGAGCTAATTCTCTCCCCTCCCCTTGACATGAAGATATGTCAGTAAATGTTCTTGTTCATTGTGCTCTCTCAGTAACCATGGCTTTAGATTTTGTGTCTTAATGATTTTGAAGATTTGGAAATTTGGATTTGATATTTCTTTGGGGCAAGGTTTCTATGGAGAAAGGATTTGAATTTGACTGTTAATCTTAGTAAAAATGTAATTAAATGCTTTCAAACTTGGAGAAGCTGCCCATAACAGTAATGGACTTTGTGCATTTCAAAATGATCAAAACAGGTTAAAACAGGCTGTGGAGCGACTTCTCAGATTCTTTTGCGTAAGAATGTGCAAATGATGGTAGCATTCTATAGGAGAAATAATTCCTTATTGTGAGATGTCTTGGTGGAATTTGCAGTTTTTTGGGATAGTAGTTTGAAAACATAAAGTGAAACTGGTGAATAAAATGTTGATTTTAGGGAAGGAGGAACTCATAGTCTACGCCTGCGAGAATGGGGAAACACAGATGGTGCCCCAGTGGTCAACTTTGATTTTATGTAGCTGAGTTTCTTAAATTTGGACTCTGGAGTAAATTACTGTAACATCCATCAGTGCTTGAAGGTCTTCAGCATTGTCTGGATTGGCTCTTGGTTTCATCCAGAGAATTTTGAATAATACTTAAAACTTGTTTTGGGTTGCCTGGGTGGCTCAGTCAGATAAGCATCTGCCCTTGGCTCAGGTCATGATCCCAGTCCCACGGTGGCCTCTTGCTCAGTGGGGAGCCCCCTTCTCCTGCCTGCTGCTTCCCCTGCTTGTGCTCTCTCTGACAAATTAAATATTAAAAAAAAAAAAACAAAAAACTTGTTTTAAAAACTCATTTCTTGGAGTATAATTTGGATACTGTATAATACCTTTTTAAGAATCATAGCTTGAATTTGAGAAACATTGTAATTGCCATATATATGGTTTCCTGTTTCCATAAGGTCATGAATACGTACAGCCTTATGGCACAGTTTTTTGGGCCTGGCTTCATCCACTTCCCATGTTTCTGAGATTGATCCAAGGAGTTCATGCTGCAGGTGTTAATAAGCAGCTCAATGTCAATTTTGGCCCTCTCCCCCCACCCCAGCCTTTTTTTTTTTTCCTTTCCTGAGTAGCATTCTGTTGCCTGTGGGGTGCTACAGTCTAACCGTTTGTTTGTTGCAATTGATTTTTGCTTGAAGGGGGGAATGGCACCATTTTTGGTGGCTTTTGTATGCCTCTTTGCTGAGGCCATACAAAAATAGGAACGTTTTTTAGATTTTCTGTTTAATTTTTGGTTCTTTTGTATACTGTTACAATGTATGTTTTCAGGACTAAAGCTGACAGTTTTGTGTAGTGTTTCACATAAGAAGATGGTGGCTTCAGAAGCTGAACTCTGAAATAATCCCAAATTGGATCGCTTGATTTGAAATTGCTTTTTATAATTTATTAGTTTTCTTTGTTCAGAAGATTTAATGAGAGAGACATTTTTTAAAAAATGAAAATCACATGTTCTTGTTATTGCAAATGTGTTAGATTGTTAGAACTGGTTTTATTTTATATTCTGTTTTTGTAAAAGTAAATGCATCCTTTTTTACCTGGTAGGAAAGGTAAGTTGTGGTTTGTGGTTTGTGGAATGTGGTAGTGTAGCAACGTACTCAGATTATTTGATCGAAGGAGAGGAGATAATGCTCTGCAGATACACTCAACGTTCCTCTTTTTCAGGGTGAAGTCTTTGGAGAACAGGACTACAGCTGTAGGAATAATTAGATACTTTAAATAGAACCAGTAGAGTAAGCAAGGTAGTGTCACCAGTGCCTGCAGCCTTAAGTAGTGGTAAATCTAAGTCATTGTTCATGGCTCTGATTAAGTATTTACATGTAATTTACAAGGGGCGAGATTTGGAGGGCTCTCTCTAAGTGGGCAGTGCTTCTGTGTTTTGTTTTGTCTGATTAAATGCTTATCTGGCAAGCTAAAAACGGCTCGTTTTGCAGACTGGGGAGAGGTTCTTGATAACTCCTAAAAGGAACATATGGGAAGTTCAGAATGGAGGTAAAAGCCTAGCTGATGGCCCCTTTTGATTGCTCATGGGCTTTTGAAAAGTCGAACACTCAGTTATTTGGTTTGGCTGGAAGGATTTAGAGGAGAGTGAGTTGTCCCTTACTGTGGACAGAATTCAGCAAAATGGAGTGTGTGGTTCCTTCTACTCCCTGTTGTAGGGCCAGACTTTGATACTCTCTTTTGGAAAGGGGAGGAGAAAATCTTGGTTGCTGGTTCTTGTTTCTACCTTGATTTGGTAAATCTAAAGGAGGGGGATGTTTGTTTAGGTTTCAGTTATTTTCTTTTCCTGGCCTAGTACATTTTTTGATACCTGCAACTGAAGAGGGGAGTGAAAAGTTACTGAGGTTGTTTTAATTTAGCCTGGGTTCATGCTTACCTGGGAAATAATTGGCCACACCTAGTGGTTTGCTTTTTAAAGCCCCCTCCTTGCATTTTCCTGGGTGCCAATTGTTATCTCTGTCTCCTGACTGCTTATTAGGAAATTATTCTCCTTGTTTGATGCTAACTTCCTTCTGTTTGGGGTTCCTTGCTCAGAAGAGAGGTTGGACTGGTGGTTGTCCTTTGGGACAAGGCTATCTTAGGAGCCCCAGTGGTCAGCCTGAGGTGGGTGCTGGTACCTTAGCTCTTCAGCAGTGTCCTTGACCCAGTGCTTGATCACACCCCACAGGGTCCCTTCTCAGCACTTACCTAGTGGTTCTTTTTCTTAGGTGTTTGTTTTTTTTTTTTTTTAAG